GATAATCATGAATAATATTCGTTTTGACACAGTGACTCCGCGATAATAACTCTTGCAAATGCCATTAATCACCGGGTTGACCTTTCGGGAAAATGCTATGATGTTCCCGCTTTCGAGACCTACATTCGCTCCGCGTTTCCCGGCCTGATAAGGAGTGAAAACGCATCCCATTTAAACAGGAGAGCCAAGTGAATCAGTTCTGAAAACAAAGAGAGGGCGGAGCGAAGTGAGGAGGGGGGAGGTCAAATGAATAAATCAAGCGGGTAACAAAAGCTCATCGGATTTTGAGCATGACACCGACACGAAAGGTTAGATTGATACGTTTGAAATTAACGGCTTACTCGGCACTTGGTTGCCAGGGCTCATTTGAATCCTTTTGAAAATTTAGGATTGAGAGGAAAAGTCAGTTAGAAACAACTTAGTGCTAGCCTATTGAAAATCTTTACCATTTCCAGAAGATACTCCATTTCANGGGGGGGGGGGGGGGCTGAACTCATGATATTTTGCAAAATGACGCACTTCTTGTTGGGAGACGTATCTCATCCTTTCTATCCTATAAATGAAGGGAAAAACAAACACTTCTGTTGCGAAAAGAAAAAAGGAGCAAGTTACAGAGATTGTGTGGGAAAAATTCAGGTTCTTTTTCTTTATGTCCCATTGCAATGCAAAAATTCTGGCGGATGAAGATCAAAAGTTCACGAAAGAGAAAACTTTAAACGACGAGTATTACGCGCAAAAGGATGTAGGATATTTTTAAAAAATAGTCGCCTTCATCTGTTTATTTTCCTTCCAGAAAAGGACGACAACCACTTGTTAGTTAAAAGACGATTTTCAACTACTCGCTGTATAATCTCTTTATACATTTTTAAAAAAAGAGCCAAGTTTTATACCATCACGAAGCAGCATTTTCACAAAGCGGGGTATTGTTGAGCCGCAAATTGACTGAAGAGGAGGGGGGGTTAAATACTTAAAATAGCTCTTTTGTTGATGAGACGAAGATTCTGCCGGATTGACAACGTTAGCTTCGACGAAGGAGGGTGGGAGGAACGAGAAGAAAAGCTGAGACGGTGCTGCTGTGGCGCTGAAGAAAGTGTTAAAATTGGAATTAGGTTATGAATATTCTGCGAGCTTCCGCTCTCAAGTCTCGACTCTGACGGAGTTCCGCGCTAGTTTCAGCCCGGTTCCAGCCCGACAGCAGGATGGAGCCCTTCCGTTCCTCCGCAAATCAGACAATTGAGAGTTACGGTGCAGCGCCTGGAAAATTGATAATTTAGAAAGTTACACGCTAAGTTAGACGACCAAAGTTGCACTTTTCGTGGTGCCTTGACAAATATTTGACTTGAAAGACCCTTTCTTGGAACGGGTGGCTCTCCTGAAACTAGTCTCAGCACGAAACGCTCAGGGAATATGCAAATATTTGAGCGCTTAACGAACTGATGAAGCGAGGAATAATGTGAATTTACGCGGCTTATGCTAAGTATAGGAGCCCTATGTTCTAATGCAGAAATTTACAGGGTTTCGGGTGTGGCAAAATTTGAGAATTCTTTGATTTTTCCATGAAAAGCATACCCTTGATTATATTTATGCCTAAGTTCCCTAAACCCTCACAAGAGAGGGGAAAAAAGTCATTATTACCAAGGTTGGAAACACGGCACTTTTCTCAACGAAGCACTCAAAATGCAAAAAGCCAGGAGAAAAAAGAATACCTCGCGACAGTATGAACACCTGATTTTTCATTTTTTTCTTCTCTTGGCGACTTTCCAAATGTTTTCTTTAAGAATTTTCCTACTATATATACGCCCCCTCCTCTCCTTCCCTACCGATTTTTGGAAATCACCGCATGAAGCATTCCTTAATTTTATTCAACCAAAGAATGACAACAATCATAAAATGTATGCAGTGCTCTTGCCTGGCCAACTTTTTGAGGGGAGATTATTGAGCTAGAATCACTAGTAATTTTACAGTTGATTGCGCATTCCGGTCGATTTTCATTGCAAATGCCCATAATTCCACAACTTGGGTCATATTTTCAGTTGTTTTTTCAAATGACTCTCATCCTTGGCTAAACCGAATAGGTTGAAATTGCAGTTAGAGAGGGTTGAACAACTTTGAAAGTTTTACCAGCCTTTGAGTTCAATTTAACGAAATCATTTCACCGGAATAAGAAATTCTGAGAAGCAATACAATAGAGCCGATGTAAAAGCCGCTTTCTCCGAAAAGCTTCTGCTTCACTCGTAATATGCTGCACTCGCAGGATACACAGATCAATCAAAAAAGTTACTCTGTGAGCATTTACTCCAAGCTCATGAAAATTGCTTTTTGTCGGATTCCGCGTTGAAATCCCTCCTAAATCTACTCTCATCGCAATGTAAACCATATGAGCCTGCCTCCGCAATGTACTCGGTGCAGTGTTGCCATTTTATTATACAGAAGGTGCCGGGGTTCCTAGAATTAATTCCCATTTCCTAAAGTTCCGAGAAAAATTCTAATTTTTTCGAAAGTTCCGGGTAGAGATTCCAAAGTACGTCCGGATTTGGTTCCGAAGATCGTCAAATCTCATCAAAAATCATGAAATTTGATTAGATAATCGGTCAAACTGATGAAAGGCTAGCCTAAAATTCCGATAAAATAGATGAAAATTATGGGCATTTCGAAGATTCTGGGAAAAGTTCCGGAATTTGGAATCAACTCCACGAAATGGCAGCACCGTATCAATATCATCAAATTTGATCAAATAATCGATCAAACTGATGAAAACCCCTAAAATGCCGAGAAAATAGATGAAAATTATGGGCATTTCTGAGATTCTGGGAAAAGTTCCGAAATTCGGAATTCATTCTGGGAAATTTGGGATTGTCGGTGGGAAATGGCAGCACTGATTCGGTGAACCTTTTTGATCACGACCCCGTGTCTCTGAGAGGAATTTGTTCGAGATTCCATGCATCAAGAGCGAACGTGCACAACTGAAGCCCTGCATCGCACTTGTGGAAAGGATACAAGGGAAATAGGTGTCCCTCGATCGTCTCTACAAGTTCCGCTCCGGATTTCCATGCATTATGCGACACTTCTTGCGAAGATCATCGCATAAAAATGATGTAATGTAATGGCGTTCTGCAACGTCTGCGCTTACGTTTTATCGGATCGAGGACGCGGCTCCAGCTTAAACAGGTGCGCCAGCGATCCCTCAATAAAATAGCACTTACGGGAGCGAAGCAATTTGCGGCTTATCGAGACGGCAGCTGTTGTAGTCACCGAATCTGGGAGCGGCTACAGCTAAAACTTCCGCTTTTCCGATTATCCTACTGAATATCGCCACTTTCCGGCCAAATTATCACTCGGGATTTCCCGCGGAAACGCATTGAGAAAAGTTCGAATGGCGATATCAAGTCATGTTGGAAGGTCACTGCTCAAGTGCTCACACATTAAAATTTGTAGGAAAACGCAGTATTTCCGTAACGAAAAAATTATCAAATGAAACAGAGGACCAATGTGTACACTGCGACGAAGTGTTGTCACCAGTCGAAGACGCCTTCAGTTTCTGTGATACTTCACAGCCCACACCGGAGTTAAAATAGTTGTATCAAAAATCATTGTGCATCTTGATAATAAAAAATAGGACCTTCCAATCGCTTATCGAACATTCATGAAGTGTCGTCTCTCAAAAATTAAAAAAAAAAAACCTTACTGGAAACGGTTTACATTATTTGCAAATGTTCTCGCGAATGTTCTGTATTTTGGTAGATTCTTACTTAAGTCTTCAAAGAAATGACGGGGAGATGCAGGTTTATTTTATCAGCTAAGGTAAGTTGCAATGGACGCCGAACTGTTGTCACCAGTCAAAGGCGCCTTCAGTTTCTGGAATACATCACCGCCTACACCAGAGTTAAAATATTTGTATCAAAAATTACTGTCTATCTTGATAATAATTCGCAGGATCTTCCAATCGCTCATCGAACATGCGTGTATTGTTGTGCGACCTGTTTTTCGATGAGCGATATATCTGTTGATTTTGGACGTAAAAACTTGGCGTTTGAATTGATTTTGAATGAGCGATACATCTGTTGATCTTGGACGTAGAAACTTGGCGTTTGAATTGATTTTGAGATGAAAGTGGCGTGGTTACTTACGCAGGTCGACGGAATTGAACCTGTGAGAATGACAACAGTACCTAATGCAAATAACTAGGTATGGAAAGTAGGCATCGTGAAGTTTGACGTGAAGTGTGGAGCAATAAAATAACATTTTTTTTTTCCTTGTGGAAAAAAATGTTTAGTGGGTGTTGGATGCGAGGCATACTGTGCCGTAATTGGTGATGAATCAGAATTAGGCAGAAGAAGAAAGTATACAATATTTTCGATAAAGGTCAAGATATACTTTGTTTATTGCGGAGGAAAGAGAGAGAGAAAGTTGTAAAAAATCTCATTGGCCTACAATCAGTACAAAATCGCAATTGGAAAGTTGAATTCAAGTGCTAAAAAGCCAAAGGTGGTTCAGTTACTACCATAGTCTTGAAACTAAGCAAATACTTTGAAATACATACGGCTGAAATTTTTTAGGACTTGGACACGGAGGTAAAGATGTTTTGCAAAGGAAAGAGATACAAATAGGGTAAGAAGAGACATTTTGTTTACATCTATAAAGATGAAGATGAATTTTCAAAAATTGTACACGGGGTCCAGGAAGTACAAATATACGAAACGATATCAAGTCGACATTACGAGAATGATATTTTGGATGAAGTTTTCATGTTTACGATGGATTCATGATTAGAATAGATTTAAAGCTGATGTCCGAGCTGGAGTAAGCTACGAGGTTCAAATTACGGTGCTCGAAAAACAAAATTAAGAGCTCCAATGCGCATAGCGTTAACTGAAATTACCATTAGTAATTAACTTTCATCTAAAGGCTAAGCGTGCTTATGCCAATATGTCAACTGTGGAGTAAGGCTTTTCAACTGCTGGTGATCGTATGGATACAAGACGAAACCTTTTGTAACGTACCCCAGAAAGACTGAACTGAATAGTAGCTATGGTTAGTGTTGTTACTGTATTCGTCTTTGCTGTTGTTTCCTGTTAACCGCAATCAAGTATTAGTAGAATGTAATTTCACAACTTTAGATGAAACAATACATACTAGAATCATGCAGGATCAAAAAGAAATACAATCACCTTCAAGAAAAACAAGTCGATGACAGACGAGCATATAGCTCACAATATATTTCTACGTTCCAAACTTTCTATGTTCGCACTGAGATAGAATAAAAAAATTGGGGGAGGGACAAGGGAGAAACCTATCCAGACATGAGACCTTACATATTAAAAAAAAAAAAAAAAAAAAAAAAAAAAAAAAAAAAAAAAACCTGAAAAATGTTAGTAAATTAATTTGAGTAAGGTGTGATGGTGGTTTCGTCATCCCCCCAACCAGTGGCGTGGCGTGCTTTGCGATATATCGATTGATCTGCCATTTAAATCTATGGAAAATGATCGAGTATCAAGGTGTTCGCAACGAACTTCTTAATAATCGATTCTTTATTACAGCTTCAAATAAGGAAATATCGATAATCGATCCTTCACGCCACGCCACTGCCACCAACCATTAGAATAATTAATTGTAAATAGGGAGTTATTCTCCTCCTTTCGGGCGGGGTCATTGTCGGTCCCATTCCAAGTTGTAACAATCTAATAAAATGTTACCTTAAAAAAAAACAAAAATAAAATAAAAGGAAACCGTACAGGCACCGAAAATTAGATTCTTCATATTTTGGTGCTTATTTCCGTCTGATTTAATGTGAAATCCCCCTTTTCCTTTCCACCAAAAGGAACTACGCCGCTTTTGCAGTGTTTCTTAGGCAGCTCTAACAAGCATACCCCATCGTTTCCACCCGTCTTTAGGTCCTTTTGCCATAAAAAAAAACAACTTAATCGGACACAAATATTAACAGAGAAACAACTTAAAACGGGACTAAGGCCGCAAATAATAAAAAGAAACACATAAAATGAAATAAGAAACCCGGGACGTTTCGCAGGGATCACACCCGCATTTGCAAAACAAGAAAAATTAAAAGAAAGGACACTGTGAGCCTCACCGTTGTTATTTTGAGACTTAAACAACTCAACTTGACTCAAACTTTGAGTCTCACAATAACAACGGTGAGGCTCACGGTGTCTTCTCATTTAATTTTTCTTGTTTTGCCGGCTGAAAATGCGGGTGTGATCCCTGCGAAACGTCCCGGGTTTCTTATTTCATTTTATGTGTTTCTCTTTATTATTTGCGGCCTTAGTCCCGTCTTAAGTTGTTTCTCTGTTATGCCATAAATACGTCCAATTATTCGAGTCGATATTGCAAACTTGGAGTTAAGTTACTTTCCTTCGTCCGGAAAACAACGATGTTACAGAAATCAACGACCACCCACCATCCACGATCCTTCCAACGTTCTCGGCGAACACTGGCAGCCAAGGAACGTTCACGCAACAGTTAAGTGACTGGCATAACGTTCAGAAGCAAAGACCCAAAGTGCTCATATTCAGCCAAGACTGAGCGATGAATATCATCAATCATGACGTTCCGGAAAACGCAACCGAGGATACAAAAGCGGGGCGCGGGTAATGTGCATTTCAGCGTCCTCTCCGGTGTCGCCCGTGCACATTTCAGCACCTTCACTTTGCGTAGACGCAAAAGTGACTTTTGAATTAATTGGCCCAGCTTCACCCCATCGAGTTTCGGCGAGTGATTCGGGGTCCGGGGCAAATTAAGAGCGAAATAATTGCGGCCGGGCCAAAATTCTTCCAGCCATAAGTTTCGCGACGATGGCGGCGATGAATGCTTTTGACGCGTGAAAAGCTGCCAGGCGAAAAGCACGGTTGCCAGTAATACTGTCGGGCAATAAACAATTGTCGGATGAGCTTTCAGGTGTTGCCTAATGTCCTCTGATAAAACATTGATTTTTTAATTTTTTCCGTCCGATTTTCAGAGAAATTTTTTCGTAATTCAACCTGAATGGGTCACTAAATCTTGTGTTTTTAATTTAATAGTTTAAATGTCCCAGGTAAGGAGATTACTTGGAGATTTATTGCGTATTCTTATGGTCAAAATTCTGGACAAGCCCGCTTTTAAAAAGTCCAAAGACTCGAGGGAATATGAAACGCGCCGGAATGACGGAAAAATAATACCAGTGAAGGACTGCAGCGGTCAACTCGCTATCTTCTCTCATTTTCCACTGATGTTTGTTGAGATAAAACTTAATGCAATGCGAAATTGTTGCTATTTTACTGCAAATAACATGAATGAGATTTGATTCTTCTGATTCTGAAAACATAGTTTCGACATTCCTGTTGTTTTCCTAAAGGAGGAAGAGAAAGACATTCGACGGAAGTCGTAGAGGCCTGTGCTCGCTTTTGATTAGTGCCGGTTGACATCATTCGACTCGGCGCAAAATCGAGAAGTTTTAAATTTGCGGAAAAGTTGCGCTTTTAAAACTGTGTATTTTTCGGGTTCAGTGCACTACTTTTCCGCGTTTTTCATGTGCGCATCGTGTTCCACGCGTCATTTGCCTTAGAAACAATGTATTCGCAGGTCAAAAACCTTTCATGGTTTAGTGACCTATTACCTGAAAATTCCAGGTAAAAATATTCAGAATCTTCTTAAAAATTAATATATTTTCGGAGGAAAATTGGCAACATCCAAAAGTTCATACGGTGTTTTTCCTTAGCACGCGCGATAGTCTGATCTCTCCTCGGTGAATTTTACTCGAAAACTTGGCACCGATTACGGCGTTCGACGGAGAGGACAATCACACTGTTGACAGCAATATAAAAACTGGGGAATATTCAATTAAAAGATGAATAATGATAGAACAATAAAAATGCTACGCTAACGTGTAAAGCTCTGGATCCGCATTCACTCAGTATTGTGAATGAGAAAAAAACCAACGAGCGAAACGGGACCAAATGCAAGTTTCATATCCCAAGCGATAAACAATGAGGAACTGGGTAAGGTGCCGGAAATTAATGGAAACAATTCGAACAGAGCGTGTGCTGACAGGCGGCTTTCCTCTGTGAAAATTGGACTGGGAAAAATATTCTGAGGAAAATTATTTTACACGAAACCCACTACACTCCGTACTCATGTTTCTTCGCGTGTGCGGTTCATATTCTCGACGCTTCACAATAAATTGTTGTTAACCTACCGCGTGAACTTGGAGAAGTAAAGTAAGGAATAAGGGTCGAAGTGATCATCGTCCACTGTTTGAAAAAGAGAACTGCGCTGAAAATAATGTAGCTCTTCCGAGTTGTATCGTAAAAATTTTAATAAGCGCACTTTTTCATCCGAAAACCGTTGCGTTCAACGTTTCTCTTTCATTACTGTTTCCTAAAACTAGCTTGTTATATTGTCAAATGCGCACACTCGCCTGAACATTTCTGTAAGTTGATTCCTCTACAAAAAGTAAGAGAAAACAAAGCAACGAAAACAGCCCAAAACGGAAGAGTAGAATGTAAAACAACGAAAAGTGGAAACAAGGCTAAAAATATATAATTCATTGTGACGTTTCGGTGCCCTAGGGCACCATTATCAACCGGTAAAAGTGTAAAATAAATCAGAAAAAAGTTGAAATGAAATCTAGCACAAACGGTGTTACATTGTGATTATGGTATGAACCCATCATCACGATGAAAACATTCATTTGGAGAAAGGTAGCGAGAGCCTCTTTTTCTCTATCATTATCATAAATTACAGATTAAATTACGAGTGAAATTCCGTGAAATTGTTAGGAAAAAATGTCAACAAGTTTTCAGAGAGTTCGTGTTTCATCGGAAAAAATTTAGGAACGTCTAGATGTTCACACGGCGCACAATAAGACGAGCTTTCAAAATTTTTGGCTAAAATTTCGAATTTTGATTTTACTTCTACGACATTATAAAATGTGAGGGGCTCATGGTAAAGGACATTCTGCGGCAAAATCAGAGGAACCATTTCTGAACTTTGAAGTTTTTTCATTGGCAAAGGTGGGGTTTATTGGGAATTTCCTAACGAAATCCAAAAACTCACATTGACTTCTTCCACTGTGCGGCGTTTTCCTTGTATACGAGCTGAATATACGTCCAGAGAGCAGTCCGCTTGTTTTCATTCCTATCTTCCTTTTCCCAGGTACGCCCTTAATCCTCGGTGAACACAGAATTGGCACGGGCACTTCTCTGTCGCACTAAGGAAAAACGCCGTATGAACCATCAGGTGTTGCCAAATTTCATCCGAAAAACGACGAATTTTCAGGAAAGTTTATAAATATTCCTCCTCTGATTTTTCGGAGGATTTTGTTCGAAATTTTATTTAAAAAGTCTGAAAATCTCAGGGAGAAATATTCATAACTTTCTTCAAAAATAGATATTTTCCGAGGGGAAATTCGGCAACATTCGAATGCTCTTACGGCGTTTTTCCTAAGCGCGGCAGATCTCGGGCTGGAGGTCGAGGAAATTGAATTGTTTTGGACAATACACCGCGCGATGAGCCACGAGGCGGGGAGGGGGGCGGTCGCTTGTTTGACTAATTAATTGCGCCAGACTTCAAGTGCACGGGAGCACGGCTCGGAGAGGGCTGCTGCAGAGATAATGTCAAGATCAAGTTGAGTTACACGCCGGAGTCCGACCTTGGAGCGGATTTCCACGCCTACGGTCGGAAAACCCAACTCGTGATAAAAAAAAGAAAACCGGAGGGAAAAAATGGTGAAAAAAGGAGTGGAAATGGGGCAAGAGACGCGCTTGAAAGGAGACAAGAGCCGACTTGATAAAGGCGCGCGGAGAAACACTAGAGCTCTCGACATCCGGACGGACATGAGAAGCTAGCGAGAAATGAAGTCTCATATTGTGGAGCTCGGGATTAATTGTTTTGCCAGATTGTTCATAAAAAAAAAGTCCTTCGATTCCGCCGTAATGAAGAAAAATGCCGTATGAATCTTTCTGTGGGCCGGTTATTGAAATGCACAGACACAGGGCCGGATTTACCCACTTGCCGCCCATGGGCCGCCATTTTGCCGCTCCCTTCTCCTTCATTTTGAAACATCAATAAAACCATCAAG